GACTGGATTGTGTGAGGAGCTCACAAATCCTTGAAAGATCTGGGCAAGGGTCCCATCGGTGAGCTCCTCCGGCAGGGCAAGGCTGCGATGGCTGGGTCATGTAGCCTGCATGCCCAGCCAACGCATGCCGAAACAGATTTTGTTCGGCCGGATTGAGGGGGCTAAGCGAGCGCGGCACGGGCTAGAGAAGAGATGGAGTGATGTGGTACGGGAGGACGTGGAGCTGAGTGGACTTGCCGATGACTGGTACCAGCGGTGTCAAGATCGGCCTCTGTGGAGGAGGCTCGTGAAGGATGCTACTGGGCAGTTGGAGGCTAGTCGCCCTCCAACAACAACGGAGGGCGGTAGGAGCGACGCTCACAACAACGAGCGGAGCGCCGGGTGGCTAAAGCACAGCAGGTTGGCACAGTAGGGGGCACAGGTGGTGCATCAGCCAGTCACCTCAGTCAGTCGACCCGTGGCACCTGGGTCTGCCCCGTGACCTCCTGCCAGCGGGCGTTCGACACTTCACGTGGCCTCAGGGTGCACATGGCCTGGCACAAGCGTCGTGGTGACGTCACCGCCACTTAGTGGCGAATGGCGGTTGTTGTTGTCACTGTCTGTGTGTGTGTGTCACTGTGTGTGTGTGTCAGTGTGTGTGTGTCACTGTGTGTGTGTGTGTCAGTGTGTGTGTCTCCGTGTCTCACCGCTGTAGACAAGCCGCTGTGCCGTGTGTCTCTGTGTCTCTGTCTCACCGTGTGTCTGTCTCACCGTGTCTCTGTCTCACCGTGTCTCACCGTGTCTCACCGTCTCACCGCTGTAGACAAACCGCTGTGCCGTGTGTCTCTGCCTCACCGTGTCTCTGTGTCTCTGCCTCACCGTGTCTCTGTGTCTCTGCCTCACCGTGTCTCTGTCTCACCGTCTCTCACCGTGTCTCACCGTGTCTCACCGTGTCTCTGTCTCACCGTGTCTCTGTCTCACCGTGTCTCTGTCTCACCGTGTCTCACCGTGTCTCACCGTCTCACCGCTGTAGACAAACCGCTGTGCCGTGTGTCTCCGTATCTCACCGTGTCTCTGCGTCTCTGTCTCACTGTGTGTCTGTCTCACCGTGTCTCTGTCTCACCGTGTCTCACCGTGTCTCACCGTCTCACCGCTGTAGACAAACCGCTGTGCCGTGTGTCTCCGTGTCTCACCGTGTCTCTGTCTCACCGTGTCTCACCGTGTCTCTGTCTCACCGTGTCTCACCGTGTCTCACCGTGTCTCACCGTGTCTCACCGTGTCTCACCGCTGTAGACAAACCGCTGTGCCGTGTGTCTCCGTGTCTCACCGTGTCTCTGTCTCACCGTGTCTCACCGTGTCTCTGTCTCACCGTGTCTCACCGTGTCTCACCGTGTCTCTGTGTCTCTGTCTCACCGTGTCTCTCTGTCTCACCGTGTCTCACCGTGTCTCACCGTGTCTCACCGTGTCTCACCGTGTCTCTGTGTCTCTGTCTCACCGTGTCTCTCTGTCTCACCGTGTCTCACCGTGTCTCTGTGTCTCTGTCTCACCGTGTCTCACCGTGTCTCACCGTGTCTCACCGTGTCTCACCGCTGTAGACAAGCCGCTGTGCCGTGGGATCTCCCACGCCAACGCCTCCATTGTGCAGCTCGCTCGGCAGCAGCTTTCAGGCACCGATGCTCGCTCGGCACTCGCCACCACCGGCACCACCGCCGGCACCGCCGCCACCACCGGCACCACCGCCGGCACCGCCGCCACCACCACCGGCACCACCGCCGGCGCCGGCACCGGCACCAGCGGCACGCACGAAGAGCAGCCCGGTGCGTGATCGGGGATCGAGTGTCTCCCCTTCTGTGTGTGTGTCTGCGTGTGTGTGTCTGTGTGTGTGTGTCTGTGTGTGTGTGTCTGTGTGTGTGTCTGTGTGTGTGTGTCTGTGTGTGTGTGTGTGTCTGTGTGTGTGTGTCTCTGTGTGTGTCTCTGTGTCTGTGTGTGTGTGTCTGTGTGTGTGTGTGTGTGTCTGTGTGTGTGTGTCTGTGTGTGTGTGTGTCTGTGTGTGTGTGTCTGTGTGTGTGTGTGTGTCTGTGTGTCTGTGTGTGTCTGTGTGTGTGTCTATGTGTGTCTGTGTGTGTGTGTCTGTGTGTGTGTGTCTGTGTGTGTGTGTCTGTGTGTGTGTCTGTGTGTGTGTGTCTGTGTGTGTGTGTGTGTCTGTGTGTGTGTGTCTCTGTGTGTGTCTCTGTGTCTGTGTGTGTGTGTCTGTGTGTGTGTGTGTGTGTCTGTGTGTGTGTGTGTCTGTGTGTGTGTGTGTCTGTGTGTGTGTGTCTGTGTGTGTGTGTGTGTCTGTGTGTCTGTGTGTGTCTGTGTGTGTGTCTATGTGTGTCTGTGTGTGTGTGTCTGTGTGTGTGTGTCTGTGTGTGTCTGTGTGTGTGTCTGTGTGTGTGTGTGTGTGTCTATGTCTGTGTGTGTGTGTGTCTGTGTGTGTGTGTGTGTGTCTATGTCTGTGTGTGTGTGTGTGTGTCTGTGTGTGTGTGTGTGTCTGTGTGTGTCTGTGTATGTGTCTGTGTGTGTCTGTGTGTGTCTATGTCTGTGTCTGTGTGTGTCTGTGTGTGTCTGTGTGTGTCTATGTCTGTGTGTGTGTGTGTGTCTGTGTGTGTGTATATATGTGTGTGTCTGTGTGTGTCTGTGTCTGTGTGTCTGTGTGTGTGTCTGTCTGTGTGTGTGTCTCCCCATATGTGTGTGTCTGTTTGTGTCTCCGTGTGTCTCCGTGTGTCCCCGTGTCTCCCCGTGTCTCCCCGTGTCTCCCCGTGTCTCCCCGCGTGTCTCCGCGTGTCTCCAGCGAGTGAGGACGTGGTGATGGAGCTCCCCGTCTGCACATTCCAGCTGCCTGACATGGCCGTGTCTCCGTGTCTCCGTGTGTCTCCCTGTGTCTCCGTGTGTCTCCCTGTGTCTCTGTGTGTCTCCCCGTGTCTCCGCGTCTCCCCGTGTGACTCCCCGTGTGTCTCCCCGTGTCTCCCCGTGTGTCTCCGTGTGTCTCCGTGTCTCCCCGTGTCTCCCCGTGTCTCCCCGCGTGTCTCCGTGTGTCTCCCCGTGTGTCTCCGTGTGTCTCCGTGTGTCTCCGTGTGTCTCCGTGTGTCTCCGCGTGTCTCCAGCGAGTGAGGACGTGGTGATGGAGCTCCCAGTCTGCACATTCCAGCTGCCTGACATGTCCCTGTCTTCATGTCTCTGTGTCTCTCCTTGTGTCTCCGTGTCTCCGTGTCTCCCCGTGTGTCTCCCTGTGTCTCCGTGTCTCCCCGTGTGTCTCCCTGTGTCTCCGTGTCTCCCCGTGTGTCTCCCTGTGTCTCCGTGTCTCCCCGTGTGTCTCCCTGTGACTCCGTGTCTCCGCGTGTCTCCAGCGAGTGAGGACGTGGTGATGGAGCTCCCCGTCTGCACATTCCAGCTGCCTGACATGTCCGTGTCTCCGTGTCCCCGTGTGTCTCCGTGTGACTCCCCGTGTCTCCGTGTGTCTCCCCGTGTCTCCCCGTGTGACTCTGTGTCTCCGTGTGACTCTCCGTGTGACACCCCGTGTGACACCCCGTGTGTCTCTCCCTGTCTCCGTGTGTCTCCGTGTGACTCCGCGTGTCTCCCTGTGTCTCCGTGTGTCTCCCCGTGTCTCCGCGTCTCCCCGTGTGACTCCCCGTGTGACACCCCGTGTGTCTCTCCCTGTCTCCGTGTGTGTCTCCGTGTCTCCGCGTGTCTCCAGCGAGTGAGGACGTGGTGATGGAGCTCCCAGTCTGCACGTTCCAGCTGCCCGACATGTCCCTGTCTTCATGTCTCTGTGTTACTCTCCGTGTCTCCGTGTCTCCGTGTGTCTCCGTGTGTCTCCGCGTGTCTCCAGCGAGTGAGGACGTGGTGATGGAGCTCCCCGCGTGTCTCCGTGTGTCTCCGTGTGACTCCCCGTGTCTCCCCGTGTGTCTCCGTGTGTCTCCGCGTGTCTCCGCGTGTCTCCAGCGAGTGAGGACGTGGTGATGGAGCTCCCAGTCTGCACATTCCAGCTGCCTGACATGTCCGTGTCTCCGTGTCCCCGTGTGACTCCGTGTCTCCCCGTGTGTCTCTGTGTGTCTCCGTGTGACTCCGCGTGTCTCCCTGTGTCTCCGTGTCTCCGCGTGTCTCCAGCGAGTGAGGACGTGGTGATGGAGCTCCCCGTCTGCACGTTCCAGCTGCCCGACATGGCCCTGTCTCCGTGTCCCCGTGTGACTCCGTGTCTCCCCGTGTGTCTCTGTGTGTCTCCGTGTGACTCCGCGTGTCTCCCTGTGTCTCCGTGTCTCCGCGTGTCTCCAGCGAGTGAGGACGTGGTGATGGAGCTCCCAGTCTGCACGTTCCAGCTGCCTGACATGGCCCTGTCTCCGTGTCCCCGTGTGACTCCGTGTCTCCCCGTGTGTCTCCGTGTCCCCGTGTGACTCCGTGTCTCCCCGTGTGTCTCCGTGTGTCTCCGTGTGTCTCCGTGTGACTCCCCGTGTGACACCCCGTGTGACACCCCGTGTGTCTCCCCGTGTCTCCCCGTGTGTCTCCGTGTCTCCCCGTGTCTCTGTGTGTCTCCGTGTGTCTCCGTGTGACTCCCCGTGTGACACCCCGTGTGTCCCCGTGTGTCTCTCCCTGTCTCCGTGTGTCTCCGTGTGACTCCCCGTGTCTCCCCGTGTGTCTCCGTGTGTCTCCGCGTGTCTCCGTGTGTCTCCGCGTGTCTCCAGCGAGTGAGGACGTGGTGATGGAGCTCCCAGTCTGCACATTCCAGCTGCCTGACATGGCCCTGTCTCCGTGTCCCCGTGTGTCCCCGTGTCCCCGTGTGACTCCGTGTCTCCCCGTGTGTCTCCGTGTGTCTCCGTGTGTCTCCGCGTGTCTCCAGCGAGTGAGGACGTGGTGATGGAGCTCCCAGTCTGCACATTCCAGCTGCCCGACATGGCCCTGTCTTCATGTCTCTGTGTTACTCTCCGTGTCTCCGTGTCTCCGTGTGTCTCCATGTGTCTCCGTGTCTCCCCGTGTCTCTCCGTGTGACACCCCGTGTGACACCCCGTGTGTCTCTCCCTGTCTCCGTGTGTCTCCGTGTGACTCCGCGTGTCTCCAGCGAGTGAGGACGTGGTGATGGAGCTCCCAGTCTGCACGTTCCAGCTGCCTGACATGTCCCTGTCTTCATGTCTCTGTGTTACTCTCCGTGTCTCCGTGTCTCCGTGTGTCTCCGTGTGTCTCCGCGTGTCTCCGCGTGTCTCCAGCGAGTGAGGACGTGGTGATGGAGCTCCCAGTCTGCACGTTCCAGCTGCCCGACATGGCCCTGTCTCCGTGTGTCTCCGTGTGTCTCCGTGTGTCTCCGTGTCTCTCCGTGTGTCTCCAGCGAGTGAGGACGTGGTGATGGAGCTCCCAGTCTGCACGTTCCAGCTGCCCGACATGGCCGTGTACAGCGAGGACTTCCGCTCCTTCCTGGAGAGAGACCTCATCGAGATGGCCACACTGCTCGCTCTTGAGAACTCTGGTGGGGCTGCGTGTACCTAGCCTGGCACGGAGAGAGAGAGAGAGAGAGAGACGGGGTGTACCTAGCCTGGCACGGAGAGAGAGAGAGAGAGACGGAGACGGGGTGTACCTAGCCTGGCACGGAGAGAGAGAGACGGGGTGTACCTAGCCTGGCACGGAGAGAGAGAGAGAGAGACGGGGTGTGCCTAGCCTGGCACGGAGAGAGAGAGAGAGAGACGGAGACGGGGTGTACCTAGCCTGGCACGGAGAGAGAGAGAGAGACGGGGTGTACCTAGCCTGGCACGGAGAGAGAGAGAGAGAGACGGGGTGTACCTAGCCTGGCACGGAGAGAGAGAGAGAGAGACGGGGTGTACCTAGCCTGGCACGGAGAGAGAGTCGCAGCGTGTTGCCCAGCCTGGCACGGTCACTGAGTGTGCCTCTGTGCGAGTGGTGTAGTGGCGGGGGAGAGACAAAGGCGGCCGGGCGTGGTGGTGCTGGTGGCCACCCCCCCCCTCGCTCTGTGTGTGTAGCCACAGTGCCGGTAGCCTTCATAGGTGCAGCACTTGCCCCTACAGGCCTGCTAGAGGCTACCTGGAGGAGCTTTGTCTGTGTGTGTCTAACACAGCACTTGCCCCTACAGCCCAGCTAGAGGCTACCTGGGGGAGCTTTGTCTGTGTGTGTCTAACACAGCACTTGCCCCTACAACCCTGCTAGAGGCTACCTGGGGGAGCTTTGTCTGTGTGTGTCTAACACAGCACTTGCCCCTACAGCCCCTGCTAGAGGCTACCTGGGGGAGCTTTGTCTGTGTGTGTCTAACACTGCACTTGCCCCTACAGGCCTGCTAGAGGCTACCTGGGGGAGCTTTCTCACTGTCTCCCACCCGTGTCTCCCTCTCCCCCCGTGTCTCTCCCCCCGTGTCTCTCCCCCCGTGTCTCTCCCCCCGTGTCTCTCCCCCCGTGTCTCTCTCCCCGTGTCTCTCTCCCCGTGTCTCTCTCCCCATGTCTCTCTCTCCCCCCGTGTCTCTCTCCCCCCGTGTCTCTCCCCCCCCCCCCCCGTGTCTCTCCCCCCCCCCCCCCGTGTCTCTCTCCCCGTTTCTCTCTCCCCGTGTCTCTCTCCCCATGTCTCTCTCTCCCCCCGTGTCTCTCCCCCCGTGTCTCTCTCCCCGTGTCTCTCTCTCCGTGTCTCTCTCTCCCCCCGTGTCTCTCCCCCCGTGTCTCTCCCCCCGTGTCTCTCTCCCCGTGTCTCTCTCTCCGTGTCTCTCTCTCCCCCCGTGTCTCTCCCCCCGTGTCTCTCCCCGTGTCTCCCCGTCTCCCCCCGTGTCTCCCCGTGTCTCCCCGTGTCTCCCCCCCCGTGTCTCTCCCCCCGTGTCTCTCCCCCCGTGTCTCTCCCTCCCCGTGTCTCTCCCCCCCCCGTGTCTCTCCCTCCCCGTGTCTCTCCCCCCGTGTCTCCCCCCGTGTCTCTCCCCCCGTGTCTCCCCCCCATGTCTCTCCCCCCGTGTCTCCCCCCCGTGTCTCCCCCCCCGTGTCTCCCCCCGTGTCTCCCCGTGTCTCCCCGTGTCTCCCCCCCCGTGTCTCCCCCCCCTGTCTCTCCCCCCGTGTCTCTCCCCCCGTGTCTCTCCCCCCCCGTGTCTCCCCCCCCGTGTCTCTCCCCCCGTGTCTCTCTCCGTGTCTCTCCCCCCGTGTCTCTCCCCCCGTGTCTCTCCCCGTGTCTCTCCCCCCGTGTCTCTCCCCCCGTGTCTCTCTCCCCGTGTCTCTCCCCCCGTGTCTCTCCCCCCGTGTCTCTCTCCCCGTGTCTCTCTCCCCGTGTCTCTCTCCCCATGTCTCTCTCTCCGTTTCTCTCTCTCCCCGTGTCTCTCTCCCCGTGTCTCTCCCCCCCCCCCCGTGTCTCTCCCCCCCCCCCCCGTGTCTCTCTCCCCGTGTCTCTCTCCCCGTGTCTCTCTCCCCATGTCTCTCTCTCCCCCCGTGTCTCTCCCCCCGTGTCTCTCTCCCCGTGTCTCTCTCTCCGTGTCTCTCTCTCCCCCCGTGTCTCTCCCCCCGTGTCTCTCCCCCGTGTCTCTCTCCCCGTGTCTCTCTCTCCGTGTCTCTCTCTCCCCCCGTGTCTCTCCCTCCGTGTCTCTCTCCCCGTGTCTCTCTCTCCGTGTCTCTCTCTCCCCCCGTGTCTCCCCCCCCGTGTCTCACCCCCCGTGTCTCCCCCCCCGTGTCTCTCCCCCAGTGTCTCTCCCCCCGTGTCTCTCCCCCCGTGTCTCCCCCCCCGTGTCTCCCCCCCCGTGTCTCTCTCCCCGTGTCTCTCCCTCCCCGTGTCTCCCCCCCCCCCGTGTCTCTCTCTCCCCGTGTCTCTCCCCCCGTGTCTCCCCCCGTGTCTCTCCCCCGTGTCTCTCCCCCCGTGTCTCTCCCCCCGTGTCTCCCCCCCCGTGTCTCTCCCCCCCCGTGTCTCCCCCCCCATGTCTCTCCCCCCGTGTCTCTCTCCGTGTCTCTCCCCCCGTGTCTCTCCCCCCGTGTCTCTCCCCCTGTCTCCCCCCCGTGTCTCCCCGTGTCTCTCCCCCCGTGTCTCTCCCCCCGTGTCTCTCCCCCCCGTGTCTCTCCCCCCGTGTCTCTCCCCCGTGTCTCCCCGTGTCTCCCCCCCCGTGTCTCCCCCCCCGTGTCTCCCCCCTGTCTCCCCCCCCGTGTCTCCCCGTGTCTCTCCCTCCGTGTCTCTCCCCCCGTGTCGCTCTCCCCGTGTCTCTCCCCTCCCCCGTGTCTCTCCCCCCCCCCCCGTGTCTCTCCCCCCGTGTCTCTCTCCCCGTGTCTCTCTCCGTGTCTCTCCCCCGTGTCTCCCCGTGTCTCCCCCCGTGTCTCTCCCCGTGTCTCCCCCCGTGTCTCCCCCCGTGTCTCCCCCCGTGTCTCCAGGCCGGCTCAACTGGTGGACCAAGGTGGGAGTGAATCTCCAGCGGTTGCTACCGTTAGCCACCACTGGTGATGGGAACTGTCTACTGCACGCAGCGTCTCTCGGTGAGACACGGGGGAGACACGGGGAGACACCGGGGGAGACACGGGGAGACAGGGGGAGACACGGGGAGACAGGGGGAGACACAGGGGGAGAGACACGGGGGGGGAGACACGGGGGGGAGAGACACGGGGGGGAGAGACACGGGGGGAGAGAGACACGGGGGGGAGAGAGACACGGGGGGGAGAGAGACACGGGAGATACACGGGGGGATACACGGGGAGACAGGGGGGAGACACGGGGAGACAGGGGGAGACACGGGGAGACACCGGGGGAGACACGGGGAGACAGGGGGAGACACGGGGACAGACAGGGGGGAGACACGGGGAGACAGGGGGAGACACGGGGAGAGACACGGGGGGAGACACGGGGGGAGACAGGGGGGAGACACGGGGAGACACGGGGAGACACGGGGGGAGAGACACGGGGAGACACGGGGGGAGACACGGGGAGACACGGGGGAGACACGGGGAGACACGGGGAGACACGGGGGGGAGACACCGGGGGAGACACGGGGAGACACGGGGAGACATGGGGAGACACGGGGGGAGACACGGGGAGACACGGGGAGACACGGGGAGACACGGGGAGACACGGGGAGACACGGGGAGACACGGGGGGAGACAGGGGGGAGACACGGGGAGACAGGGGGAGACACGGGGAGACACGGGGAGACACCGGGGGAGACCCGGGGAGACACGGGGAGACATGGGGAGAGACAGGGGGGAGACACGGGGAGACACGGGGAGAGACACGGGGAGACACGGGGAGACAGGGGGGAGACACGGGGAGACACGGTGAGACACGGGGAGACAGGGGGAGACACGGGGAGACACGGGGGGGGGAGACACGGGGAGACACGGGGGGGAGACACCGGGGGAGACACGGGGAGACACGGGGAGACACGGGGAGACAGGGGGAGACAGGGGGAGACACGGGGAGACACGGGGGGGGGGGAGACACGGGGAGACACGGGGGGGAGACACCGGGGGAGACACGGGGAGACACGGGGAGACACGGGGGGGGGGGAGACACGGGGAGACACGGGGAGACACGGGGGGGGGAGACACGGGGAGACACGGGGGGGAGACACCGGGGGAGACACGGGGAGACACGGGGAGACACGGGGGGGGGGGAGACACGGGGAGACACGGGGAGACGGGGGGAGACACGGGGGGAGACACGGGGGGAGACACGGGGGGAGACACGGGGGGAGACACGGTGGGAGACACTGGGGGAGAGACACGGGGGGGGAGACACGGGGAGAGAGAGACACGGGGGGGAGAGAGACACGGGGGGGAGAGAGACACGGGGGGAGAGACACGGGGGGAGAGAGACACGGGGGGGAGAGAGACACGGGGGGGAGAGACACGGGGGGAGAGACACGGGGGGAGAGACACGGGGGGGAGAGAGACACGGGGGGGAGAGAGACACGTGGAGAGAGACACGGGGGGAGAGACACGGGGGGAGAGACACGGGGGGAGAGACACGGGGGGAGAGACACGGGGGAGAGACACGGGGGGGAGAGAGACACGGGGGGGAGAGAGACACGCGGAGAGAGACACGGGGGGAGAGACACGGGGGGGAGAGAGACACGGGGAGAGACACGGGGGGGGTGGAGACACGGGGGAGAGACACGGGGGGGGAGAGACACGGGGGAGAGCACGGGGGGGAGAGAGACACGGGGGAGAGACACGGGGGGGGAGAGACACGGGGGGGGAGAGAGACACGGGGAGAGACACGGGGGGGGTGGAGACACGGGGAGAGACACGAGGGGGGTGGAGACACAGGGGAGAGACACGGGGAGAGAGACACGGGGGAGAGACATGGGGGGAGAGACACGCGGAGAGAGACACGGGGGGAGAGACACGGGGGGGAGAGAGACACGGGGAGAGACACGGGGGGGTGGAGACACGGGGGGAGAGACACGGGGGGAGAGACACGGGGGGGGTGGAGACACGGGGGAGAGACACGGGGGGGGAGAGACACGGGGGAGAGACACGGGGGGGAGAGAGACACGGGGGAGAGACACGGGGGGGGAGAGACACGGGGGGGAGAGAGACACGGGGAGAGACACGGGGGGGGTGGAGACACGGGGAGAGACACGAGGGGGGTGGAGACACGGGGGAGAGACACGGGGAGAGAGACACGGGGGAGAGACATGGGGGGGGAGAGACACAGGGGAGAGACACGGGGGGGAGAGAGACACGGGGGAGAGACATGGGGGGGGAGAGACACGGGGGGGAGAGAGACACGGGGAGAGACACGGGGGGGGTGGAGACACGGGGGAGAGACATGGGGGGGGAGAGACACGGGGGGGGAGAGAGACACGGAGAGTGACACGGGGTAGACAATTTAGAGACATAACGTCCCACTCAATGTGCTCCTCCCTCCCTCCCCTCCCTCCCCTCTCACCCCCTCCCCCCCTCCCCCCCACCCCAGGGATGTGGGGCTTCCACGACCGTAACCTGGCCCTGAGGAAGGCTTTGCACGGCCTGGTGCACGGCACGGCACCGCCAGACTCCGGCGACAACCACAACCACCACCAGCAGCACCACAACCACAACCAGCACCAGCAGCACCACCACCAGCAGCAGCAGCAGCGTGAAGCTGGCGACTGGCAGCGCTGGCGAGTGAGGGCGCTCAAGTCCCGCTGGAGGTGGCAGCAGGCGATGCAGAACGAGGAGGTGGGACTAGCGGCAGCGGTGTCATCATCATCAGTAGTAGTAGCGGTGTCATCATCAGTAGTAGTAGCGGTGTCATCATCATCAGTAGTAGTAGCGGTGTCATCATCATCATCAGTAGCAGTGTCATCATCATCAGTAGTAGCGGTGTCATCATCAGTAGTAGCGGTGTCATCATCAGTAGTAGTAGTAGTGTCATCATCATCAGTAGTAGTAGCGGTGTCATCATCATCAGTAGTAGCGGTGTCATCATCAGTAGTAGCGGTGTCATCATCAGTAGTAGTAGCGGTGTCATCATCATTAGTAGTAGCGGTGTCATCATCATCAGTAGTAGCGGTGTCATCATCATCAGTAGTAGCGGTGTCATCATCAGTAGTAGCGGTGTCATCATCAGTAGTAGCGGTGTCATCATCATCAGTAGTAGCAGTGTCATCATCAGTAGTAGTAGCGGTGTCATCATCAGTAGTAGTAGCGGTGTCATCATCATCAGTAGTAGCGGTGTCATCATCAGTAGTAGCGGTGTCATCATCATCAGTAGTAGCGGTGTCATCATCATCAGTAGTAGTAGTGTCATCATCAGTAGTAGCGGTGTCATCATCATCAGTAGTAGCGGTGTCGTCATCATCAGTAGTAGTAGCGGTGTGGTCATCATCAGTAGTAGCGGTGTCATCATCAGTAGTAGTAGCGGTGTCATCATCAGTAGTAGCGGTGTCATCATCATCATCAGTAGTAGCGGTGTCATCATCAGTAGTAGTAGCGGTGTCATCATCAGTAGTAGTAGCGGTGTCATCATCATCAGTAGTAGTGTCATCATCATCAGTAGTAGCGGTGTCATCATCAGTAGTAGTAGCGGTGTCATCATCATCAGTAGTAGCGGTGTCATCATCATCAGTAGTAGTAGCGGTGTCATCATCATCAGTAGTAGTAGCGGTGTCATCATCAGTAGTAGTAGTGTCATCATCAGTAGTAGTAGCGGTGTCATCATCATCAGTAGTAGTGTCATCATCATCAGTAGTAGCGGTGTCATCATCAGTAGTAGTAGCGGTGTCATCATCATCAGTAGTAGCGGTGTCATCATCATCATCAGTAGTAGCGGTGTCATCATCATCAGTAGTAGCGGTGTCATCATCATCAGTAGTAGCGGTGTCATCATCAGTAGTAGCGGTGTCATCATCATCAGTAGTAGCGGTGTCATCATCATCAGTAGTAGCGGTGTCATCATCAGTAGTAGTAGCGGTGTCATCATCATCAGTAGTAGCGGTGTCATCATCAGTAGTAGTAGCGGTGTCATCATCATCAGTAGTAGCGGTGTCATCATCATCAGTAGTAGTAGCGGTGTCATCATCATCATCAGTAGCGGTGTCATCATCATCAGTAGTAGTGTCATCATCAGTAGTAGCGGTGTCATCATCATCAGTAGTAGCGGTGTCATCATCAGTAGTAGTAGTAGCGGTGTCATCATCAGTAGTAGCGGTGTCATCATCATCAGTAGTAGTAGTGTCATCATCATCATCAGTAGTAGTAGCGGTGTCATCATCATCAGTAGTAGCGGTGTCATCATCAGTAGTAGTAGTGTCATCATCATCAGTAGTAGCGGTGTCATCATCATCAGTAGTAGCGGTGTCATCATCATCAGTAGTAGCGGTGTCATCATCATCAGTAGTAGCGGTGTCATCATCAGTAGTAGTAGTGTCATCATCATCAGTAGTAGCGGTGTCGTCATCATCAGTAGTAGCGGTGTCATCATCAGTAGTAGCGGTGTCATCATCATCAGTAGTAGTAGTAGTGTCATCATCATCAGTAGTAGCGGTGTCATCATCATCAGTAGTAGCGGTGTCATCATCAGTAGTAGTAGTAGCGGTGTCATCATCAGTAGTAGCGGTGTCATCATCATCAGTAGTAGTAGTGTCATCATCATCATCAGTAGTAGTAGCGGTGTCATCATCATCAGTAGTAGCGGTGTCATCATCAGTAGTAGTAGTGTCATCATCATCAGTAGTAGCGGTGTCATCATCATCAGTAGTAGCGGTGTCATCATCATCAGTAGTAGCGGTGTCATCATCATCAGTAGTAGCGGTGTCATCATCATCAGTAGTAGCGGTGTCATCATCAGTAGTAGCGGTGTCTTCATCATCAGTAGTAGCGGTGTCATCATCAGTAGTAGCGGTGTCATCATCATCAGTAGTAGCGGTGTCATCATCATCAGTAGTAGCGGTGTCATCATCATCAGTAGTAGCGGTGTCATCATCAGTAGTAGTAGTGTCATCATCATCATCATCAGTAGTAGCGGTGTCGTCATCATCAGTAGTAGCGGTGTCATCATCATCATCAGTAGTAGCGGTGTCATCATCATCAGTAGTAGCGGTGTCATCATCAGTAGTAGCGGTGTGGTCATCAGTAGTAGCAGTGTCATCATCATCAGTAGTGTCGTCATCATCATCAGTAGTAGCGGTGTCATCATCATCAGTAGTAGCGGTGTCATCATCATCAGTAGTAGCGGTGTCATCATCATCAGTAGTAGAGGTGTCATCATCAGTAGTAGCGGTGTCATCATCATCAGTAGTAGTAGTGTCATCATCAGTAGTAGCGGTGTCATCATCAGTAGTAGCGGTGTCATCATCATCAGTAGTAGCGGTGTCATCATCATCAGTAGTAGCGGTGTCATCATCATCAGTAGTAGCGGTGTCATCATCATCAGTAGTAGTAGCGGTGTCATCATCAGTAGTAGCGGTGTCATCATCAGTAGTAGCGGTGTCATCATCAGTAGTAGCGGTATCATCATCATCAGTAGTAGTAGTGTCATCATCAGTAGTAGCGGTGTCATCATCAGTAGTAGCGGTGTCATCATCATCAGTAGTAGCGGTGTCATCATCATCAGTAGTAGCGGTGTCATCATCAGTAGTAGCGGTGTCATCATCATCAGTAGTAGTAGCGGTGTCATCATCAGTAGTAGCGGTGTCATCATCAGTAGTAGCGGTGTCATCATCATCAGTAGTAGCGGTGTCATCATCATCAGTAGTAGTAGTAGTGTCATCATCATCATCATCATCAGTAGTAGCGGTGTCATCATCATCAGTAGTAGTAGTGGTGTCATCATCAGTAGTAGCGGTGTCATCATCATCAGTAGTAGCGGTGTCATCATCATCAGTAGTAGCGGTGTCATCATCATCAGTAGTAGCGGTGTCATCATCATCAGTAGTAGCGTCATCATCAGTAGTAGCGGTGTCATCATCATCAGTAGTAGCGGTGTCATCATCATCAGTAGTAGCGGTGTCATCATCATCAGTAGTAGTAGTGTCATCATCATCAGTAGTAGCGGTGTCATCATCATCAGTAGTAGCGGTGTCATCATCAGTAGTAGCGGTGTCATCATCATCAGTAGTAGCGGTGTCGTCATCATCAGTAGTAGCGGTGTCATCATCAGTAGTAGCGGTGTCATCATCATCAGTAGTAGCGGTGTCATCATCATCAGTAGTAGCGGTGTCATCATCATCAGTAGTAGCGGTGTCATCATCAGTAGTAGCGGTGTCATCATCAGTAGTAGCGGTGTCATCATCAGTAGTAGCGGTGTCATCATCATCAGTAGTAGCGGTGTCATCATCATCAGTAGTAGTAGTAGTGTCATCATCATCATCATCAGTAGTAGCGGTGTCATCATCATCAGTAGTAGTAGTGGTGTCATCATCAGTAGTAGCGGTGTCATCATCATCAGTAGTAGCGGTGTCATCATCATCAGTAGTAGCGGTGTCATCATCATCAGTAGTAGCGGTGTCATCATCATCAGTAGTAGCGTCATCATCAGTAGTAGCGGTGTCATCATCATCAGTAGTAGCGGTGTCATCATCAGTAGTAGTAGCGGTGTCATCATCAGTAGTAGTAGCGGTGTCATCATCATCAGTAGTAGCGGTGTCATCATCATCAGTAGTGTCGTCATCATCAGTAGTAGCGGTGTCATCATCATCAGTAGTAGCGGTGTCATCATCATCAGTAGTAGCGGTGTCATCATCATCAGTAGTAGCGGTGTCATCATCATCAGTAGTAGCGGTGTCATCATCATCAGTAGTAGCGGTGTCATCATCATCAGTAGTAGCGGTGTCATCATCATCAGTAGTAGCGGTGTCGTCATCATCAGTAGTAGCGGTGTCATCATCATCAGTAGTAGCGGTGTCATCATCATCAGTAGTAGTAGCGGTGTCATCATCATCAGTAGTAGTAGCGGTGTCATCATCAGTAGTAGCGGTGTCATCATCAGTAGTAGCGGTGTCATCATCATCAGTAGTAGCGGTGTCATCATCAGTAGTAGCGGTGTCATCATCATCAGTAGTAGCGGTGTCATCATCAGTAGTAGTAGCGGTGTCATCATCATCAGTAGTAGCGGTGTCATCATCATCAGTAGTAGCGGTGTCATCATCAGTAGTAGCGGTGTCATCATCATCAGTAGTAGTAGCAGTGTCGTCATCATCAGTAGTAGCGGTGTCATCATCATCAGTAGTAGTAGCAGTGTCGTCATCATCAGTTGTAGCGGTGTCATCATCATCAGTAGTAGCGGTGTCATCATCATCAGTAGTAGCGGTGTCATCATCATCAGTAGTAGCGGTGTCATCATCATCAGTAGTAGCGGTGTCATCATCATCAGTAGTAGTAGCGGTGTCATCATCAGTAGTAGTAGCGGTGTCATCATCATCAGTAGTAGTAGCGGTGTCATCATCATCAGTAGTAGTAGTGTCATCATCATCAGTAGTAGCGGTGTCATCATCATCAGTAGTAGCGGTGTCATCATCATCAGTAGTAGTAGTGTCATCATCAGTAGTAGCGGTGTCATCATCATCAGTAGTAGTAGTGTCATCATCATCAGTAGTAGTAGCGGTGTCATCATCATCAGTAGTAGCGGTGTCATCATCATCATCAGTAGTAGCGGTGTCATCATCATCAGTAGTAGCGGTGTCATCATCAGTAGTAGTAGCGGTGTCATCATCAGTAGTAGTAGTAGCGGTGTCATCATCATCAGTAGTAGTAGCGGTGTCATCATCATCAGTAGTAGCGGTGTC